TCGTGATGTAACAGCAACAGCTGAACCAAGGGGATTGGAGGATTGGTGGGAGAAGAGGAGGAAGACGTTGTAAGACTGCCTCCACTTTTTCCCTTTTCCTCTCTGCTCAGTTTTCACTTTTATCTTCAGGGTCTCCTGGTTCGTTCAAAGGGTGTGTTCTTTGTTGTAGATGGATTCCGAGGTGGTCTCCCGATATATAACCTTTTTCTTTCTCGCTCTCTTTTTGTGCAAAAGTGGCCCTGTGTCCTTATGTATGCAGTCTCTGATCCCGCCAGTTTGGTTGTGTAGTCACTTGCACCTCAAGCGCAGCTTATGGAAAGTATATCTCGATGTTTGAAGTATAACAGTGGTAGAAAGAGAGTTTTCTGGGGGGGTATAATGAAGTTGAGCGAGGGTCAGGAGAGAAGGGCCATATACTTATATGTGTAGAGTCGATCCCTGGGCCAAGGGTACCGAAACGGGATGTCCGTAATAATAACTTCTTAACTAGCGACAGACTGAAAAAAGTGGGACAAGACCTGCTCCGGTATTGTTTCTTTGCATTTGTTACTCTTCTACTTCTGCTGCCTCCTGGCCTTCTGCTTGGGGTTTGGACTGGGTTGCGAGCAGGCGGTACCAGTCTCCTGGGAATATCAAGGTAACCATGGGACAGGGGGAGCAGCGATGCCTGGCGCCTAGGGGGCGCAAATGCTGGAATGAAAAAAAAAAAAAAAAAAAAAAGAGAGAGAGAGATGAATTAGAGAGAATAATACAAAGACAGCGTAAAGGTTTTTTTTTTTTTTTTTTTTTTAAGAAAAAAAAAAAAAGAAAAAGAAAAAGAAAAAGAAAAAGAAAGGAAGGAGGGCAAGGAAAAAAGGATGCGGCAAGAAACGTGGAGAGAGTGAACTCCTAAGACGGTGAGTTGATGCAGGAAGTACGTAAAAGGCACAGTAATAAGAATACTTGCCAACGAGTTGTCGATAAGAACCAACCTCCAGCGTATAAGTACTACACAACTCAGCCGTCCAGTGTAAGAACTCGCCAGTTGGATTCTAGGCCGGAGACCAGGGGTGCAGACGAAGGTACAAGAGGAGGATAAGGTGGGTAATAATGGAGACAGCGGGACGACTACTGGGTGGACAAGGGAACCGAGTCAGCGAACCGAGCAAGAGGGATGCAAAAAAGGGGAAAAAAAAAAAAAAAAAAAAATCACGCTTGAGAAGACAAGCAGAATATCATGGCAGTCGAAGTCACCAGCAACTGCGGAGAGCCTAGAGATCCAGAAGCAGCAGCCTTGTCAGTACTCCGTATATATATGATGGGTTGGACCATGCATGCATGCATGCATAGACGCAGTTGAGTATTATTATTACAGGATCGTGGCATATATCTGTGCATCCACAGAACAACCAAGGTCCCGGTCATGAAGCTCGTTACTAGGCAGAGAGTAAGCAAGGTGGAGGAGCAAACTGAAAGTGTTCATAGAAGGGGGCCCTCCCAAGAAGAGAGAGGGTTTGTACCGTCTATAAAGAACCGAAATACATCCAGAACCATCTCCGTATATTCGAAGGAGTACTCCGTAGTCGATGGCCAGAAGAAGGGCCCAGCGCGAGGATATTGAAAGAATATCACACGCTTCGTAACCGCTTTTTCTTTTCATTTCCTCTCTGTCCTGCATGTCGAGCGTGGCCAACCACCCCTCCTCGTCTCCCCCCCCCCTTTCACAGGCTGCAAAAAATGCAAACATGAGAAACATGATGAACCTGCGAGTCTCTGCTGCTCAACCCTTGACAGCGATCCACCGGCAACCTTTTTTGCTCTCGATCAACGATTGTGGTTGGTTGAAAGCCGCGGCGCAGGTTCGTCCATCGATCAAATGAAAAATAATAGTGAAAGGAAATAAAAATAAAATAAAAAATTCGCGATGATGTTTTTTTTTTCCTTTTTCCTTTTTTGACTTTTGATATTCGGGTGTTATTTTCGATACACGCGGTAACTTTCACGTACTGTAATATACCGCAGACTTACGAAACACGATACGTAAATTTCAAACGCCGAGCTTTGTCGTGACAGGAGATGCAGCAGCGCAACTTCGAGTCTTCGACCGTCCGTTGACGAAGCGGACCTTGCGTGAACGAAGTACTTCATGGCCGGGATATCTTGAAGCTCTATGGAAGCCCGTGTTGATCTGCTTCTCCTGGCCGCTGGAGGCTTACGTCAGGCTGAGCAGCGGCGACCCGAAAATTAACAGGCTGCTGAGCATAACAGAGCTGGATATACTATTATGCATGCCCTATACGGAGTACACCTGCTTCTTCTTCTTGACGGATCATCGACCTAGCCAGGGATATCTCGCATTTACGGACAAATCAGAACGCCTAGAAAGGCGCAACTGTTGGATTCTTTGCCATTCGGGTTATTTTATTTTCTTTGCCTGCAATGTGAGCAGAACAAAAGAAACGAAACACAAAACGATCTCGGAGACCTCCAAGCGAGACCTCCTTCGAGAGTAGAGTAGCCTATTGAGATAGGTGACCTTTTGCTCAGGTGAAAGAATTTCAGTCATCTGACTATTTTCTCCAGGTTAGCTCCCTCCTTAGAGGCGGTTCTTGACGGCGTACTGCCATGGCCACAGGTCTCTTGCGCCTCTATGCAGGTTCCGGTGTTGTTGACTGCGGAGAACGATATCATTCGATGGCATTGTGAATTGGCCCTGGCAAGCAAGTGACGGTACATCATCTCTTGTCCCTCCATCCATCCATCCATCCATTTCAAAGTATTTGGCCTCTCATCCACCCCCCATGCCAGATGAAACGAAGGTTGACATGGGGTGCTTACTGGTCTCCCATTGCTGCGGGTTGTCTAACCGAGTCGTACTGCCGTTTCCCTCCCCACCTTCTACTATTTTGGCAGGCTGCTTGTGGTTGTACTTGGGCGTGACTTGTGCAACGCGAGCAGGTTGGCCCATCCCGGCATGATATCGAGGGTGTGCATGAATGGCTGCTGATATAACGGG